GTTATTACTTTTATTACCTTTTTTTTTATTTGGTGAAACTTTCAAAAAAAACACCCTGTAAATTTGTGTCTGTAAAACGTAAATTTGAGTTTTGCACTCACAGTTGAACGTTGGAAAGATGCAAATATTCTGCGAGACTCAGGGAGAGGGTCTACACTTCAGTCCTACAGATGCAGAGTTTCTGGGAAAAAGTGTATCTACAGAAAAAGGTCTTGGAAAATTAAGTTCAACTTACTGTTAAACAATGAGAGTTATGTGTTGGGGCTGACGTTGCATAAATGATGGTAATTTTCTTTCAAAGCTTTCGTGCAACACAACATCTGAGTCACCTGGAAGTTTGAAATGTCATGTACTGGAAAACTTAAGTTTGGATTGGAAAGAAAAGGTTTCCTGTGACTTTTCGGAATTACTTGCTGTAATAAATATCTTAGGGTAAAAGAACAATTAGGTAACCTTCCTTTCAGTTTTTTCATACTGCTAACTATTCAGCTGAATTAAAGAATGACTTCAGAAACAGGAACGTTGTCTACAAAAAAACATTAAATGATTTTGATAATAGTAACACTATAGAAATAATACCTGTGTGCAAGAACCTCCTTAACCTCAGCACAACTACGGGTCTTCCTTATCACTTTGTCTTCTGTTTGCAATGCTGATTTAATACAGTTGCAAAAAGAGGAAGAGTTTGCTCATCTTCACCAGAAATGTTAGCAAAATTTAGTGCCATCAAAATATACGCAACTATGATATTAGATTTGTAAGTAAGTGACATCTATTATTTATTGATTGTACTATAGTACTGCTGCTAGAGACCCTCATGTATGGATCTCTGACATAAGAGCTGCTTTTCAAAGTGCAAACATTGCTAAGGCCATGGCATCATTATGTAATATTTAAAAAGCTGAGTGACATATCAAAATGTCAATTATAAACACATTTTAATAACCTTTTTTGTCTAGCTTTGACAAACTTAAGCTCACTGTCTAAGAGCTAACAATACAAGATTCTGTTCTGCAGGAAAGTCATTGCTCATGGAAAACAAGGCAACTGTTGGAAGCTACTGATATTTAATTTTATATCTTGAAAGTATGCAGAGCAAATCTTGTTTATACTATAAGAAGAAAGTGCCTCCCTTTCACAAAAATTTAGAACATGGAGTTTAGCTTTGTTTAAAATTTCTGAGAAGTGATTTTGTATTAGATGCTAAACACTTACTTAAGGGGAAAAGGATCAAAAGCTATGTTTGCTTTCATGTAATTACATCATGTAATGAGAATTCTAACACGTGTTTAGAATAAGGGATACATGTTACCACACAGGATTGTAATTAACATGCCCTGGAAAATACAGACACAAAATGAAAGATACAGAAAAGCTATTTAAATTTTAATCTTCTGGACTGAGCAAATCCATCCAGTGTCAATCTTAAAGATTTTTCAGGCAAGACTCAACTCTGCAACAAAACAGGAGTGATAACTTACATAACAAAGTGGACAGAATATGAAAAGAAGACTAATTTGATGCTCAAAAGATAAATAGCCTTCCTTCTCATGAGCTGTGCACACACAGACATTTGCTTCAATGAGAGTTTCAAGAGGCTCCCCATCTCCAGCTGGAGACCGGGCTTATAGGAATATATATATATATATACAGGAATATGTATATTAGGAATATATATACTCCCCACTTGTCTTTATATGCTAAATGGAAGGCTGTGTTCTGTCTCAGCAAGGAAGTGTATGCTGCTCCAAAATCAGGAGATCCTGGCTCCTCTGCAGCTCTTTTCTGGGAAACAGAGTTCAGTAAAATGCTCTTGAGAGTGAAAATGAAATACAAACTCTGTTAGGTGAGCAGTAGCTGTTAAAGGAATCCACATAGCCCATTTGGCATCTCTTTCTGGAACTGTTTCAATTCAGATACACTTAATGGTGTATGTCAGAGTAAATCCCATTTTGAGAGCAATGCAGTCAAGATCTGAAGGGGAAATATGGAGAGAAGCATGATTAAAAGCAGAGAAGCAGATGGATAGGTGAGTTCCAGACAGACTCTCTGAAAAGTCACATAAACCATCTGTCTGATACAGCGTGGTATCTTGGCTGTTTTGTGCTGGCACCCAGATGTTGTCCCCCAGAAGAACTCCCAGGAGCACCCAGAGGAAATGTACTGAACAGGGGACATGATGGAAGCAAAAAGCTCTCCAGAGAACTCTCCCTCAAGGGAGGCCTCGGGGGCAGTCCCAGATACAGAAGGCTGAGGCTGTCTGAGGATGGGAAATGTGGCTCTCAGCCACCATGGTACAAATGCAGGGGTGTTCTCCCACCTCAGGAAACCTCCAGACTCCTCAAGTTCAGTATTCCTCGCTGAACTCTGAGGTTGGAATCAGGTGCTTTGATGAGCTGAGAGAGGGGCTCACAAGGGCTATGTCTGTGTTATCAAGTGCAGTGCAGGCACCTGAGAACCTGACTGTGGGCCTCTCAGGAGGGATTACTTATTAGGAGCATCTCCAGTCTGATCCACTGCACTGAGCATCCACTAATGGTCAGCAGAGTTGCTATGATTCTGGAGTTCACCTTCCACTTTATTTTCACCTGGAAAGAATTCCATCTACGTGCTCTAGGACCACTTTGCTGCAAGGCAAAGTGCAGTGTGTGAGGTAGGGATGACCAGGAGACTGGTCATCCAACTCTGTGCCCAGTGACTTTCTCAAGGCTTGTTGTCTCAAACCTGTACAACACCTCAGGCCACACCCTTCACACCCCAATGTGAAGGCTTGGTTTTTGCCTGGTGAGTGATTTTACTTTCTAGATTTCCTGTTTGCAAAATAATGTTGCAAGGTTGAGTTACCAAAGAGAGTTAGTTTCAGCTCATATTATTATGTGGCCTGTGATGTTGTTCTCCAGAAAAAGTAGAAATAAGTGATCTGGAGGAATGGCATTTCTCCCAGCTAACTCCCAGTGTTGCTGGGTTGATTGCAGGTTTAGGTATGGTCAGTTAGCACAGACTGCCAGACAGAGCCCGTGGGTAGCAGAAAGGCTGTCTCAGCCTTACTCCCTGCCACAGGTGGTCCCCACAGGCTGTAAAACCCACCACAGTGAAACAAAATGGCTTTCAGCAAAGATCTGAAACAACTGTCCTGTAGGGTCTCACTTTCACTTTGTAACAGGATTAAGACACATGCACCATCCTATTACCATCACTTCTTTTGCATACATGGTGTCTGGTTTTTAAGGATTTCTGTCCTCTGGCTTACCAGGGTTCTCCTTTCATCAGCTCCAACTTAAGATAAGTGTTTAATATTTATCTGTACTTAAAGTGAAAGTACTAGATGACTTAAGATGACAGAACTTAAAAGCAAAAGCAATAAACAACAGAAAAAAGTCAGTTTCTTCACAATAAACACTTTGTACTGCTGCTCACTTGTGCAGTTTAAACACAAGTTTATCCAAGCACAGAGAAAGCTGCAGTTTAATCTATGTGAGGCTCTTCTCTGTTTTAAACCAAGGTTAAAACTAGCAAGGGTAAGATAGAAATGAGAAACTGAGATTATCAACAATTTTGTAGCTTTATTTTCTACCACATTCATATGGTGAATATACTAGAAAATGGGATCTGGGTTTGCATTTCCTCCTAGTCTTGTCCAGTAGGACACTAAATAATAGCATTTGCGGTCTAATCTGCACTTTAATACGTTTTCTTCACTTGCTTAATTTCATTAATGGAAAGAGGAGGATGATCTTGTGGCGAGGTCAGAGTACTGGAAGTCAGGTGATGTGGGTTATATTCAGAGTTCTGCCGCAGGCTTCCTGTGCAGGCTGCTGTAATCAGGTTTGCTAATATACAAAATGAAGATAATGACATTTCCCCTCCTTACCAGGGTGTTGTGACACTTAATTCATTAATGTTTGTAAAGTGCCCTGTGCTCCTTGCTTCTAAATGGGCTCCTTACTGTAATAATGTCTTATGGATGGTATTAAATTTCAGAATAATATTATTTTAGTGCCTGCACATTTTAGTTTGCTGAAGTGTAGTAAAAAACATTATTTTATGAGCTACTGGAATTTTTTAGATGACTTACTTGAAATTTAGCTAATACAGTTACATTTATAAAACATACTATGTCTGTATTATGCCTGCTTCTTATTTTTTTGTCCTTTTCGCTGTGATGAAGTATTTAGCAATAAGCAGGACTGCTTTGTTCAGACTAAAAGGAGAAAGAAAGAGTTTGGCATAAATACTCCTGCTGCTTGACTTCTAGCTCTGCTGATGAGCCTGCTCTCTACCCTGGTGAATCACAGACTAAAGTTCTATGTCCCAGTCCAAAATGCACAGAAAAATTGAGAAAGACATGAAGTTAAAAAAAAAAATCTGGGGTTATGAAAATAGGGAATTTTGGTATTTACCTAAATTGTTGCAGTGCTACAGGACCAAGCAACAGTATAATTTATGTAGTACAGTTAAAAACAAAACAAAAAATAGATAACTTAAAAAATCTCCAAAGGTTTGGCAATGCAACTCCAAATAAATTCACTATCAATCACATGGCTAAATTTCTACATTGCACAGCAAAACAGCTCAGCTAAAAGTTTCTTAATGTGCAACACAGTATGTTTGTTAAAGCAGATAGAATTACTGAATAGGAGTGAAAGTAGAATAAACTGCTGAGTTTTTAACAAACAGAAGAATATCAACAACATCCATTGTGTATATCTGGGTTTTTCAGAACGTGCTAATTCACTGAAATTCTGCAGCTCTCTGAAATCTAATGCTGATCAGACAATTGTAATACATAAAGCTATCTGGTTTTTATAGTAAATGATAATTACACCGGGTGAAGAAATGAATTACAAACTTACCGGCAACAGGAGCGATTCATTCGGGGCTGTGAATTGTCAGGAGCCACCAGACTGCTCGTACAGCACAGGGTAAAAGAGAACATGTCCCCTCACAAGCACTGTCCAACATTAGATTAGTAGGAAGAAAGGAAAGCAGCTGACACTTACTATCAATATAAAAGTTCCCAGGAACTCTGAGAGGGCTTCTTTAACCAAGCTGTTCCTCAAGGAAAATTTCTCCTTTAAACTCCTTTTGTTTTTCCGGTTCATTTTGGCTTCCTCTGTTGTTCTGGTGCCCTAGTTACAAACACACACAAAATTTGCTCTGTATTCTCCCCTGCTCCAGCTGAACTTTGACACTTTTACTTAAACATTGAAATATGAGATTTCATCTTGCACAGCCAGTGAAATCATCTGACTGCAGGCATTGACAGAACCAACTCAACATGCCCTAACACTTCATCATGGCTTTGCCATTCTGTGTCTCCTCTGAGTACACTTCTATTTACACTCATTAGATAATACCCATGAGTTCACAATCAGAACTCTTTTCTTACAGAATGGATTAATCATTACCTCTCCTGCTATGTTACTTTTTTTTAAATCCTGGTAAAAATGAATAACATGTTATTTTTATCATCCTGATCAAAAAGAAAGGCAAAAAGATAAACCACAAGTAAGGAACCAAAATAGAGTTGCAAATTTCTCTCTGACCTAGATTGGGACTTAAACCATGCTACTATTGGCTGTCCAAGGTTTCAAGGGGAGGTTGTAAAAGAGAGTGAATGCTTGGGAGAATGCTGTGCTGTACCCTGTACACAAAAGCTCCTATCTTGTCACCTCTGAGAGATTTCAGTGGCTAATGAGGAATCTTACCTTGGTGTAGTGTGTTGAATTTGCATATTCACTCACAATACTCTTTTTGGACTAAATGTCTTGCCCTCTAGTGAACTCCCCTGTTTACATAAGAGCAACGAGGCAGAATAAATTAGGAACATTTAATGAAATTTGCTTCGGTCCAGTGGCTCCCTATAATGCAGTAAAGGCAAGTGAGGGACTATATATCTCCAATTTTCTTAGCTTAAAATTACATAGATGTTACAATATAAATCATAATAATAATACTTTCCATGTTCTTAAAACATGAAGTTGCTGAATATCTCAAAGAAATGAGGCTGCTAGAGAAAAATATTCCACTTTTATCTCTTAAGCATCTTGAGCGGTTTTATCGGATGTGGTACTGACTTGACACTGCCTGGTTGATTTACAAGTATTTTCTGTCGTTTGACTTGACACCAAATCCTTAGCACAGTTCTGGTGGATTATTTTGGCATGTGTTGTAGGTGCTCAGTGCCTTGTATCTGTCCTAAACAGGGCAGAGCTTTACAATTTGGGCAAATAAGCCACTTCTGTTATCCCCCCAGCGCTCTTCCCTTCCTCCAGATAGGACCCAGTGCATGTTCCCTCACCAGCAGTCACCTTACAACCACCAGTTTCAACCCTTAACCACTCAGTTCACCCCTAAGACTCAGTTTTAATCCTTAACTGATTTTCTGTGTCCTTTTACTCACCTTTCTCTCCCTGTGCATCCAAATACCAATTTGCCTTTAGCTCTTTCGGCAAACACTGGCCTGTGGAGCACCACGGAGCTGGTGAATCATGAGGTGACTCCATCTGTGTTGGTGCTGCCTGAGCGAGGTGAGCTGCAGGTCCTGCTCTACAGGACCTGTCTGTGGCCCAGTCAACTGGGAGCTGCCTCTGAGAAGGCCTTGAAAACAGCCTGTGTATGACAGCTGGAAAACCTTTACCCTACACCACAGAGAAAAGACATTATTCGGGACCTTAATTATCACAGCATGCTAAAGTATATGTTTGTTATGTCTCCAAGAGAAGTCAGAATTATGTATACAGCAGAGCTGAGGATGCTAGGGAGGGCATTCATTACAGCAGGAATAAGATAAACCACTTCCTCTCTTCCAGGAAAATGATAAATAAATAAATACTTTATGAAAACAATTTTTAGTTATTTGTCTATAGCAGTTCTTTCTCTTATGCAGATGCAAGTCTCACTCACAAAGTAGGATGTGGATACCTCTGAGTTTAGTCTCATAACAGGGGTTAAGAAATTAATGCTATTTTTCAACTAATTGTAGGGTAATAACATGTCAGGAATTCCTACTTATTTGTCCACATCATGTTGCCTTCCTTATAGCAATTTTCTCCCTTGACAGGGTGGAGAACAGGAACAAATACAGTTATTTTGCATTTGCCTTTTTTTCAGATTGTCCTCAGTACTTTATAGAAATTATACTATTTAACCCCATTATTAAGAACTGTGGTGCTAAGTTAGACCAAGGATTCTCCTCAGCTCCATAACAAGATTCAAGTAGATGCTCTGAGAAAGTATTGAAGAACTGAGTACACAGAGGATGATGGTTCCCTTGGGAAATCCTTCCAGCTTTTGACAGCTTCCAATTTAAAGTCACTGCCACACTTTTCAAAGAGAAAAGGGGGCAGCAAAGAACACTTGAACTAAGTTTCTCCTTGTATTGTATTGAGAAAGAGATTCTAAAGACATTTCCCAAATCTAACAAATATGTATGTAACATTACAAGAAAGACAAGTAAAGTGTAAAGATAAACACCAGGAAAACTTTGACCTTAATTACTAACACATTTAATTAACCCTCTGTTTTACTGCCTTTTAGTCACATGCAGTGGACAACTTGGTTGGACAATGGAAAGAAAATACTCTGTGATTTTCCTGCTGCTCCCAGGGTTGTAGTGACAAGGATCCCAGCAGTGCCACCCATAAACACTGACAACTGTGGTATCTGAGGGAAAAAACTGCAGACCTCCTTCAAAAGTAGAAGCTATAGATAAGGTATGAGCATACATATTAAATGTAGAACCACAACAGAGCTCACCAAAAAGATTTTAGTGTTTTGCCAAGAATGTGGAAGTAACAGTATAAATGTTTTCAAATCCCATTACCAGAGCAGCCCTGCAAGAGAGTAAGTAAACCTATACAGGGTGAAAGGTAGAAGCAGCATTCAGGGTTACAAACTCCACAGCTCAAAGAATTATTTGCCTTGCTAAAGAACCAAAGTGGTGGGCTGAGTGTGTGGAACTGTCCTAAAATAAATTACCAGTAGGAAACACCTCAAGAGAAATTTTAAGTTAAAGAGTAACTAATTGCTGGATCTGCACCCCTTCCACCAAGGGATTAAAATGTTCAGCTTCTCAAGTGCTAGCTCCCGTGGGTTGTTTTTTGCTCAACCTGATCCTCATGCCAGCAGAACAAAACATAGAAAATATAACAATGATCCACAGATCTTTCAGGAGAGTCCTCCGAAGGTGATCATGGGAATTACAAAACTGTCAATATGACTTCTGTGCCAGGAAATTTAGATGAACTGCTGTAAAAAATAAAATCAATAGACATACAGATATAGCTGATGCTCTGGAGGAACATCAAATGGATTCTGTTCAGGGAGGTTTTGCCTCACAAATTTACTGACATTCTTTAAAGACTTCAAAAACCACATTGATATTATTGTTCATTCTTGAATGTGTGATCAGTGTAACTTTAGATTGCAAGACTATGGCTCTTGGGACCCTTACCCCTAAGGCAGTCTGGACTGAACTATTTCTTCTCTTCACCTGGATTCAAGCAGAGCAGGAATTCACATGGTATATATAAGCTAACCATTTTTATAGTAATCTTCACTCCTATAGAAATAGCAAAGTAGAGAATAATACACATAGCTCCCACAGTTTAAATCCCCCGGGTAACAGTATATACTGTACTGAATTTTTAATAGCACATTATTCAGAGTATCACATAAATTGTTATTACTGATGTAATAAAACCTAAACCAACACAGCTGGAGAGACCAAGGCTATAAATACACCATATATTTTTTGTATTGTAATAATATGGGCCAAATTACTTTAAAGTCTGCTGATTTCAGTTGAATTAAACAAACTCTGAATGTGTACCTCTAATATAATTCATGTCCCTGGTCAAATGCCTCTGCCTAATTTATATTTCAGTTTTCATATAGAAACTGATTCATGGTTCTTAAAGGATGTACTCTGTTTTACGGATTGATTCTGCTGCTGGGGAACTCAAAGAAAAAAAAATCCAGGTGAGGAAGATATGAGGACACTGTAATTCAGTATTCTAAGCTTTTTTGCATACACAACCTCCCTATTTCTTTAGTTCTTGTGTTTTCTGATCACTCCTCTGTCTCTGCTGTAGTCTCTGGTGAAAAAGTGCTGAACAAGGGAAATATTTGCAGTGTGCAGCTCTGGTTTAGTTAAGCCCACCTTGGAGGAGGGGCAGGGCATATGAGGGGACCCTTTGAGAATTTGTTCTTTCTTCTCTGTTTCCGTGATCTCAGTGTGCAGATAAAACATTTCAGTTGGAATCATGAATATGAGATCAAACCTACACCACGTATGTGTTTTTTAAGCTTTTTGCTGGTAATCTTTAAGGCCTGATTGAAAGCTTGTTGAAGTCTGCTGTTGCTGACAACTGACTGGGAGCTGGTAAATGTTGGCCCCATTATCAACAAGGGCAAGGAGGAGGACGTCTGAAACTACAGGCCTGTCAATCTCATTTCAGTGCCTAGTAAAGTTATGGAGATTATGTTTTTGGAAGGTATCGAAAAACACCTGAAAGACAATGCAGTTATTGGTCATGGACAGCATGGCTTCAGGAGAGGAAAGTCGTGCTTATCAAACCTGATTTTCTTCTTTGACAAGGTAACCCACCTTAGCTGATCAAGGGAAGCCCGTTGATGTAATCTTTCTGTATTTCAGTAAAGCTTTTGATACTGTCTCTCACAGGAGACAAAATGTCCAGCCCACAGCTGGATAAACACATCAGGTGGTGGGTGAGCAATTGGCCCAGGGGTCAAGCACAGAGGGTAACAGTGACTGGCGTCACATCAGACTGGTGACCTGTCACTCGTGGGGTTCCACAGGGTCTTGGTCCCTGTGGTCTAAAACATCTTCATAAATTACTTAGGTGCAGGACTGGAAGGGACACTGAGCAAGTTTGCAGGTGACACAAAACTCGGAGGAGCTGCTGAGTCCCTGGAAGGAAGGGAGGCCCTGCAGAGAGACCTCAGCAAATTAGAGGACTGAGCAATCACCAACCACAGGAAATTCAACAAGGGGAAGTGCCAGATTCTGTACCTGGGATGGGGCATCCCCAGTTGAACAGACAGACTGGGAATGAGATGCTGGAAAGCAGTGAAGGGAAAGGGACCTGGGGGGTCCTGGTCAATGTGAGTTGTGGGTTGAATGTGAGTCAGCAGTGCCCTGGCAGCCAGGAGGGACAACTCTGTCCTGGGGAGCATCAGGCACAGCATCGCCAGTTGGTCAAGGGAGGGGATTGTCCCACTCTGCTCTGCATTGGAGCGGCCTCACCTGGAATATTGGGGTAGCTTTGGGCACCACAATATAGGAAAGATATAAAGCCATTGCAGAGCATCCAAAGGAGGGCCATGA